ATTGTTTTCTCTCACTTACACTGCTTACAGAAAGATTTATCAGAAAGAATGTACTCCTGATCCTAAATGACCATAATTTTTTATGGAATTTCTAAAAGCACACAGAAAACAAACTATCAAACTATCCATATTATTTAACAGTGCTCTACTTATTAAAAATTTAAAATTCTTTAATTCATAATAGTAAGGAGATGTGTTATAAAAGTGTCTAAAGTATAGTACTCCATTCAGATATAAAATCCACTGTTGCCAGCTCCACCCAAAGTGCCAGAGACAACGGAAGGAATAGTTCTGGGAGCATAAGGATGTGTGCTTAGAGAAAGTGCTGATTGGTTAGTAGTTGGTACCATGTATTTGAAGCAGGCTTTAAAAAAGTAGTTATGACAGTAGCAGATGCGTATCATTTCCTATCACAAGTATATTAACAGTTAACCTTTGTTATCTGCACTGATTTCATGCTTGCCTGGTTTCTGATTATGAACTAAAACCACATTTCTTACCAAAACTCCTGCCTAAAATTATTAATACAAATAATTTTCCAAGAAATGCATGAGGATTATTATAAATTCTGTTATACTGTTAAAATTTTATTTAAAAGCATATTAAGAAATCAAGTGTTTATTAGCTCTCAATTCTGGATTTACTCAAATCATATATAATAAAAAATAACAATTATTGAACAGTCAATTTTTATGCATGATAAAACATGATCTAAAAAAAAAATAAATAATGTTCTCAGAAAATAAAGCTACTTCCTATACAATTATGCAATGCCAAAAAGTGTTATGGCACCTACCATATAAAAACCATATATTCATATAAGACTTGAAAACACTAAAAATGTTTTTATCACTTATAGTTTAAGGAAAAAAGCTCCAAACTTTAGCGTATTAAGTGTTTTACTGGTCAGGGTAATACAGGAACAGACTTTCTTTAACTGTGGGTACTGTATTTCTTCAGTGTAAGAAGAATAATCATTCACATTTGCTGCCTGTGAAATTTCCTAATGAGATCTGTGCTTCTTCAAAGCAAGTGGAAAAAAAAGTCAGACACTTCTCCATTTGTGTGACAGCTAAAAGTCTTCAAGGCACTGAGTAAAGCAACACAGATGCCAAACTTTCTATAAGACAGTTAGTAACCTGTTCCTACTCTTACATAACTGATTGCATTTTTACTCTAGAGAAAAGGTCATTGAACCAGTAGATACAATGAAACCTTCCAGGAGAAAGATAATGAAATTAAATAAGGTAGGGTTTTTAACTATTCATATCATGGTCTGGAGAACTACAGCTTCAAAAATATTCTGCTTATTTTTTTCAAAATAACTTTTATTTCTATAACTTTTTTGTTCTAGGGTATAGAATATCAGTATCTTGGTAGACCAAGCATTAATTGCAGAGCTAATCATAGAGTTTTTGATGTTACGTACAGTTTTAAATAAAGTTCTTACAGAACAATAGTTTTAAAAGAGTTCATCTTGATACATCAGGACAGTTCTAAAAATGCTTGTTATTTTGATGTCTCTGATTCAAGCAGTAAAATGTTCATTTCTTCTTCTAGTTTGGAACACACAATTTTAAACTATACTTTTGAATGGTTATTGAAAAGCTGTTCCTGTCAAATTAACCTATTTGCTGCTTTGGTTAAGCAGCCAGGGTGAATAGTGTTATGTCACATCCTCAGAAACATGAGAAATACGATATTAGAGGGGAGAAATGCAAATGTACGTTTATCAAAGCGTGTTGAAATACGTTTTGTTGTCAACCACATTCAAATTATCTTTAAACACAATTATTTTCTCAATCAATAATCCTAGTAAATATGACCTGGGTTATTACTGTTACCAACATAATTTGCCACAGTCATAATACACCACATTCCTACTCAGTAAACAAAGGAAAACAAATTCCCACAAACAAACAAAACTAAAAACACACAAAAAAAGAAAGAAAGAAAGAAACTCTTATTAAAATAATTCTTTTAGACTACAAATCTTTGAAACAAAATTTTCAGATAAGGGCTCAAACACTATCAACCAATATGGAAATGTAGTGGGTTGACCCTGGCCAGATACCAGGTACCCACTAAAGCCGCTCTCTCACTCTCCCTCTGCAACTGGACAGAAGAGAGAGAAAAAAAACAGCCAAGGATTCATGAGTAGAGATAAGAGCTGGGAGAGGTCAGTGACTGATTACTTTCATAGGCAAAACAAGACTCAAAGTGGGGATAGTATTTATATTTATTACTAACAGGATAAGAGCCAAAGAGTGAGAAATAAAACAGTCTTAAAAACACCTTCCCCCCCCCTTCCTCCCATGTTCTCCCTCCTCCCCCCCAGTGGTGCAGGGGGATGGGGAATGGGGGTTATGGTCAGTTGTTGTTTCTGCAGCTGCTCAGGGAGAGGAGTTGGAGTCCTTCCCCTGCTCCCATGGGGTCTTTGCAAAATTCACTCTTCATTGTCCTGCAACTTTACTTCCTGCAACATACAACTCAAAACACAGATCACCTTTCCCCCAAGGTAAAATCTCCTTGAGGCACACACTGGGTCTCCCCATCTTCCCTCATTACCCACCAGGTACACCCTGGTCCCTGAGCAAAGACAATCCCACGGGTTTGTCCTTTGGGTACAACTTTGTCCACTAGTGTGAAAAAAATATAAATCAGTTATTGCTATGATTTGCAGTTATAAATATTCTTCAGGTTGTTCAGAATGGTGATCCTGTAGAAATAACATCCAATTTAATGGCTACTGAAAGTTTTAATGGTGTCTAGACTGGAAACTTTTCATTCTGGTTTTCTGTAAAGGGCACATTAAGTACTTTCCCTACATTTACTTACAACACATTGCAACTAATAGTCCAGTGACAATAGTTGCTTCTTTGGATCATCTACATGGACTGACTGACTGCTAGCTCTGCTGTCAGTGAGGGTCCCATGCTCACAGCTGTTATGCATTGGGAGTGTCACTGGGATATTACCCATGATTGGTTTGATTCTGTGATAAGAGAATCAATGCACTTTAACACCTGTCAAAACCCCATATCCACGGGCATAACACTGAAAGAAAGATACACAGAAGGTACTGGCTCATGTCTTGGAAAGAGCCAGTTAGCCAAACAATAGGCCTGAGTTAATCTTGGGAATGCAACACAATTAATAACTTTTTCATGCGGTCATTTAATTCAGAACCAACTCAAATTCTCCTCTCCCTTCTCTTCCCCTCTCAGGTCCTGCTTTGCAAATTGTGCTATTCTTTTTGCCTCTATGTTTTTCTTAGAAACACAGTATGAGAGCTCCAGTTTCTAGACATCCTACCTATCGCTACAGATACCTTCATACCAATTCAAACATAGAAGGGTACAATACAAACTTACATCAATATTTTAAAATATTTTTTTTTTTTGTCAAACACTCTATTTCTCATTATAACCATGAAACCTTAGCCTGATTTGTATGGTTTTGGAGGGTTCCCTGTCATTAAGGTTTATACCTTGCTTGGATCATTGCAATGCTCTACTCACACCATTTCCTGATTCCTTTACATATTTCTGCAACTAGGTTCCAAAGGTGGACTATTAATGTTACACTGCAAGGCCCTATTGAACTGAGTGCCAGCTGCAAGCCTTGGTTAGGTAATTAGACTGAGGCTGAGTCAAAGGCAGTGGTAGGGTAGCTGACAGCTATCCTACAGTCTTTCTCTCTCTAAGGGGGATTACGTTTGCCTTGGTTTCCAATTAGCTTACTGTTCAGGCAGACAGATTTCTTCTTTCATCAGGATCATGATAAGTTTGCATTTACACAGAACAAGCTGCATGAGACAGACAATCACACCAGGAGAGGTAATGCACTGTATCCATAGAGATGGCTTCACCATCAAAGAGCCTATAGTTTACCTTTTCTAAGGCTGCATTAGGGCATAGAGCACAAACTGCTTTTAGTCTACCTCTGCTATTTGTGATTGGGTCCCTCTGTTCTGTCATACTTGGACAGACTTTGCTTTCTTCTACATGAGTTTGTAATCTTAAGGTTTGCATAATTTTTTAGATCTTGATGGCCTCCCAGAACAAAAAGAGGAAAAACCCCCAAACACAAAAAACCCCAACAACCAAACACTTAAAATCCCAAACACTACTAGACTGATCTTTAGGCAATGAGCATTTTATTGCTCTGTTTTCGGTGATTGAGGAAAAATGGGGTATTTCACATCAGCTACTAAACCCCTCTCCATTAGCCAATATATTTGGCACAGAAAACTTCAGGCTCTGCTTATTTCTGTTTGCATTTTGGTGACAGCAATAAACAGACTGCTCTGTTCACAGTATTTAAGAGTCTGATTCATCAGGTACAGTTCCTCAGAGCACAGTGATTGAAGTAAACAGAAAAGGTGTACTGCGAACTTGTGAAATAAAGGCATGGCAGTTCTAGAAATACAGAAAGTCTGATGAATGTATTTGTCACTGTTCATACTTCGTGTACGCTTCACGGTTATTGGGGAATATCTTCACAGCAAGATTTCAAAGCACTGTAACTAATCCATGTATATTCAAGTTTGTGACATTTTATAAGACAGTGGAACTTTCAAGAAGTCTTTTAGTGGAGTTTTGTTCAGATCCCAGAATAGTTGTTCATTTGCAGTTGAAGCCCATTCCTACACTGCTGCCACAACCAAATCTCAGGCATCACCTACTGCCTTTCACAATTAATCTCTAACACATGAAATTAGTAGTGATTTGGTGTGCTTTATTAAAAATAACAGAGCCATTATTTTCAATAATTCTTTTAAAGTGTTTATAAAAGAATCACACACATAAATGACATGTTTGAGTTTAGCTGGCTTCTCTTAATCACTGTGATATATAGCACAAATCTTTATGAAGTGTGAAGACTGAACCACTGAATATGAAATGCATGAAAGATTCCAGCAGCTGCCTGGTTAAGACACAGGTTTGATGGTCAAGAATCATCACGATTTCAGTAAGAAGATAGAAAAAGCAATTTACCTGAAGAAGGTGACAAAGAACTGCACCAGATCCATGATAGTATTGTGCTGTGAGAAGGCAATCTGCAAATAAAATAGAAGTAAATTACAACATTTTCAGACTCAACAGCTCTTTTTAGGCCAGGGTTTTATGGCTCTGTGGGTGATTAGTTTCAAGTGTAATTTCAGTCTAGCATGCACACACCTGCATTTATCATAAAGTGAGATGAGCAACTAATCCCCATATCTCTGCTGGTGTCAAAATGCAAACAGTGGAATATAGTTTTTTTACTGAAGTAAAGTTAATAGAAATATCTGCTTAATGAACAATAAAAACAATATAAAAACATATAAACCCAAGATGCAAAATATTAAGAAATCATATTTTTATAAATTGAGTTCTTTTTAGTCAACTGTTTTGACTATCACCATTTTCCACTTTAATAACAACACTGAAACAAGGTTTTAGAGAAGACAAACAACATATAATGCTTAAAATTAATAATTGTATAATATTAAAATTAATGCATGTGTTAACTTAATAAAAAAAGATAAATTTGGTGCATAAAAAACCAGTTTCAAAGCAAATTACTTTAAAGACAAAGTAATAAATATTCTTTTGGGCTACATTCTTAGAGCCTCACCAGAGCATGCATTAGTTCAGCTTCTTGCTGTAATTTTTCATGAAGATTTAAGAATTATCTCTAAGAGAGCATATACAAGCAGACATTCACACTTGCATGCAATACAGCCTATAATTACTATTATAACTAAGAACAGCACTTAATATTTAAGTAATATCTACAAATATCCGTAAGTCCCTGCCTTGCTCAGTTTTTCAGTCTATAATTATCAAAATGAAGACATACAGAACCTTCTGCTTTGAATTGTACAGTCTGTTCAAGTAATGGTTGTTTTTAGAGATCTTTGTGCATTTAAGATCTGATCTTGACTAGTAATTACAGCAAATTACTCTGATTCCCTTTCACAACTGACGTGAACTTCTGAAATGATACCTCATGATACTCAAAAAGCTACTTTTTTTTCTCTCTTTTTATTTTAGAGCAAAGCTGAAATGTGAACTTCAGTATTATAATGGTGTTACTGTGCCTTGTGCCAGCCAAACACAGCTAAACATAAATCAGATTACTTAAAAGCTTAAGGAAGGAACAGTATGTAAACAGCATCATTTCAGAAATAAGCATAGGGAGCACCATCACAAAAATACATCTCTGAAATGTAATTTCCCCTTTCTCTTCAGTAATTCCAGAATTCCAAGCAATGAAAAAAATTTTAGGAGCTCTGGAATTCAGTACAGAAAGTGGATATTTCAAATTTCTCAGCCCAAAATATCATGAAAGACACTTCATAAAGGAATCAGAATATTATTTAGTGTATTAAACTTCTAGAGTGCTATCATCTGCCTCCTCTCTAGAGAGGATATGTTCCTAGATGTGCATAGGTTAAGTAGATTGCTATGCTTGAATAAGAGTAAAATCTGCATTCTGGTCTGGGATCCTGTGGGAAGACAAGAAGCTGAGTACCATTTAGGAATTAAGCAGGAGAGAGAAAAAAATCTGACTCAGTACTTGAGTTAAATCAACAAATGTTTTCATATTTGTCCAATATAAGCAGAAATTTTTAATTCTTGGAAACTTTAACTTAGGCTACTCTCATGATGCATACTGTACCAAAATGAAGAGAAATTAGGGAGTAAAAATCTGAAAAAGTTGAAGAGAAATTACAGAGTGAGTAAAATTGTCAAAATATTTGTTAATGGCAACATAACTTTTATTTTATGCAGAAAAGATAGCATCTGAGAAAAGACCAGAAGATTTTTTTGGCCCAATATAAAACATAATTGCAATGTTCTTTCGCTGGAGTTCATGTTTGCAAAACCTATGGAAGAACACCTGTCTGTAAAACTTGCTTGTTTGGTTGTATGGGATTTTCTTGAGAGTACTCCTATTTTAAAGCAAAAACATGGTTAAATATAAAGTTCCATCCCAGAAGTAATTTCCAGTTTTAATCAGACACATTCTAATAATTGCATTACAGTTTATGTTCAAAAGATGAACTACAGCATTTTCTAAAGAAACGGTACATGCACCTTAGACTAATTTCAACACAGAATATTAACAAAAAGAATCTATATTTTAATTATAAGTAGATCACAAAGAAGCAAGCAAATATCAGGAACCTAAGACTGATACAAAGAAACAGAATACAATTAAAAAGATTTATTTCCATGAGGTTTTCATATAGATATGAATGTTATTGTCTTTTTGCTTGTGCCTACATAGATAAGGGACAAGACAAGGAAAATTCTTTCAGCCCCAGGTTTTCACTTTGGACTTAAGAGATACTGAAGACAAATATCTCCTTTGTTAATTTTTATCATGCCTAAATAGCCTTCACTTTCCTCAAAATATCTAAAAAGCTTGTGGATCCCACAAATAGTGTCTCTATCTTCTCTTATAAATGAAGATGAAGATAAATATCCTTTCCATCATTTCCTATAGAATAGAATCAAGTGCCATGTGGAATATAATTTTTTATGGCAAAGGATAACCCCTATGAGTTAACACAGAATTTCCAGCATAAACCTATTTCCCTTGAAGAAAGAGGAACAACATTTCTGCTTTAACACTGAAAAATGGAAGTAGGATTACTTATAATACTGTAAAACATTATTTGAAATACAGCTTCAGGTGCAGATTCTAATTCTTTCATTCATTAGCATCAGATTTCTAAAAGAAAAGTTAGGACAGACATTAATGTGGCAGCTACAGATATGGGTAGGGGTGCAGAGATATTTCAGTAACCTCCCTCTCTTTTTTTGTTCAAAGCCAAGATAATAGACAGCCATTTATCATAAATATTTTCAAACAATTTTCTCACCTTTACAGGAACCACTAGAAAACTTCTCATCCACTACAACAGTTGAAGTTCTTTTCCCTGTTTGTCTATAGGTCAAAGCTTTCATTGACTTTATGATCCAATACTGAGACAGAAAAATTGTTGTTTTAAAGCACAAATAATGACAGGTTTTGCAGAAATCTACAAAATGGATATTTATTTTTCTTAAATACTCTGCTATTGACAGCAAAGAAAAATAAATTAACTATAAATATTAAGGTGAATCAGAAGTTATCATTTTCACAATAATTTCATCCAAAACTGTATCTCCCAAAAAAAGGAATAATATTCTGAGCGCTACAAGATATGCAAAAAAACCTTTAGTATGATTTCATAATATGGCTTAATTTTCTTTTCCTTATAAATTGGTTACAATATTTGGGTGTCTCTTGAATAAAACCAATGCCAGTTGATTTATAGCTGGCCTCAAGTTATGTCACTTGCTGCTAAAAAAACAAGAGCATGATTATTAGAGTATCAGGCTATAGTGAATTTGCTGAAACAAAAACATCAAAGGACTTAGAAATTCCAGCTTTGTACTCCAGCAGGGCAAAGTCTAATCTCAACACCTGGTTCACAGAAAAAATCCTAGAAGTTGTTTGAGCTTTTCCTTCATTTGTGAGTCACCTTCATCAAGAATGAAAGCTGTCCTATGATTCGAGGATCTCTACCTTGAGCAACTGACAAGAGGAATTTTTGTGGGGTAGTTTGGAATATTCTAACAGTGGTGAAACTCCAGCTATGAGGATCTACGATAATAAGAATGAGTTGCATGCATCAATATTTCTTCCACAAGATCAAAATCAGCCCATCTCTTGAGCATGCAAGCTCTTTCTATGCTCGGAACAGAGGAATTCAGACCAAAACAGAAGTTGGGAAGATTGCTTATTTTAGTATATTAGATCATATATCATATCTTTCTTGTGTGATTTTCTCATGTGAAGTAGAGTGGAAGGGTGAGGGAGGAAGATGAGTTGATAAGGTAAGCACGTTGTAACAAGAAAGAGTGATAGGTAGTTTATAACCTGTAAAACATGAAGGGATAAGCATGTGCATGGAAACTATAATGTGACATAGAGCTAATATTTCTGCTAAAGCCAAGACTTTTGTATCTTAGACGCAAAGTTCATCTTGTACAGGAGTTGTGAAGAGCCTAGTTCTTACCTAGAGGTAAGAACTGAAGTGTTTTATGAAAAATGCCCTATAATTAAATTCTGAGCAATTGCTTTCAACTTGGATTTAGCTTTAAAGTCTGATGCTTCTGTATCAGACATGAAGAAGAGCTTGTGTGTCTGAAAGCTTAACTTTTCCAGGTATCCACCTGCCTTAATAAAAGATACAAACTTCAGTCTACAAAAACTGTTTCACTATTTTAACTTTTAGGAAGTGTTGTCAGTGGTGTTTTTTCTATCAAAATTTCTGCTTGGATTTTTATCTGGGTGATCTGAAAATTATTATGAACTATTATTATTGTTGTTTTGTTGTTGTTGTTATAAAATATTAAAATTTAATTTTCATGTACAGTCTTATAGTGAACTATGCTTGTATTCCTTTAGATCAAAGTTACACCGATATACAGATTAAATATAGACTCTAAAAGCCAGAGTCATAGAAACTCAGAGACAGAATGAAAAGATTCCAAAGCCAAATGTGTTATGTATAGGTTCCAGCTCACAGTCTTAAGAGATAAAAAGGTATATGAAGAAAAAGCTGATGAGTGATAAATGAACAGTGTGGATTTTTCCAACAAGCAAAAGATATTCCCATCTTTTTTTCTCTGTCATGTTTAAGTCTTCAAAAAGTATGTTTTTGAAAAAACAAACAAACATTCTTCACATGACGTGATCTAATAGGAAGACAAGGCACTGTGACTGCTGGCAAATCTTTTACACCAGTTAAGGATTCAAAAGTCAGACAGCCAGCAGGATATGCCAGAGAGCACTGCACACAAGGATTCATTGCAACCAATATTTCAATGCATGCTACTCCTTAATTTTTCATGTTTTGGTTACGTGCATGACGTGGGAAATACACTTTATACTGAATAATGGTGGATGGAATAGATCAGTTGAAACAGGAACAACTTTTGAACACTGAGATTTTTCCAACTTCAAAAGTTAATGTCTGCAGGGATAGATTCATCTTTTTGCCATTGCTCCAGTTCA